TGATCCCCCAAACACTCCTGCACCAGGGACATGGTAACCCCCAGCATCCCAATCCCCCCAAACACTCCAGCTCTGCTGGCCTGGCAGCCGCCCCACTCCCGAGTGGGATCCAGCCAAGGGCGAGTTAATAAACTTGACAAAAAGTTCCTTTATGTGAAATAATTAAAATAACTCCTCCAGTCCTGATGGACATCCAAAACCATCGGCAGCTCTGCAGCTTTAATGAACTTTCCAGATCCAGAGGCTCCTGGGTAGGATCCTGCTGATCCCTCACTGCTGGCCAGCCCCTGGGAGTGGAGTGGAGCCCCATGGCCTTGGCTCCCATGTCCCTGTGGGCACTGGCAGCAGGGTTTGATGTCCCTTCCCAGCACAGGGACAAGGGAGCTCCCAACCAAACCCTTCCCAGCACAGGGACTTCTGCAGGATCTCACACTGGGGCAGGATCAGGACGAGAAGCAGCTCCAGCACATCCTTGTCCTATGGAGGGATGGAGCACATGGAGCACCAGGAGTGATCCCGTGAGGTTTGCAGGCTCTGCACCCCCCAGTCCGTGCTGGTCCCACCTGGAGAAACCCCAGAGCCGGGGGGACCCTCCCGCGCTCCCAGCCGGGGGTGGGTTCCAGGAACCTGTTAAAGCACTTTTCCCTCTGCTGGCAGGTCCCAGCACGTTTGGCACTTCCAGTTCTCCCCGCAGGCATCAGGGCCCAGCGGAGCTGTTTAGAATTAAAAGCCTTATTTCATTCCCACTGGGATCAAAGCACTCAGAGAGGGAGGATTTTCAAACCAGCAAACCACATTTGAGCCCAGCTGGTGCACCCCAGGGCCCCCCCATCCCGACCCCCATCCTGGCATTCCCCGCTCACTCCAGCAGGCTCTTGGCGTGGTCCTGGAGGTTCTGCTTGAGCCCAAGCAGCTCTGAACAATCCCACTGTGCTCCATCCCCATGGCTCACCTCACCCTTCCAGGCTGGATGAGTTTTCCCCAGCCTCTCTTGGTTGGTGCCTCAGCCCCACTTTAAGGTCCCATAAACCAGATCCATTCCCTCCCATACCCCTGTGGTCACCCCAGAATCCAGCACCCACAATTCCTGACAGGACACTCTGGACTGGAGCAGTGTGGTTTGCACCAGGCAGGAACTTCCATGAGTCCATCCTCTCCTAAAGCAATTCCAGAGGGAGAAGGAGCCGGCTTCGCTCCCTGCCTGTGTTGAGCAGGCTCATTCCTGCCAGGAATGGGACATCCTTGTCCTGTGCCACCCACCAGCAGCTCTCAAGAGGCTCTCCCTGCTCCACAGCACAGGAGCAGCCCCTCAAGCCTGAGGGGAATCCAGTGTTCCCCAGGAGCTTCCAGCTGCAGGGACAGAGCCATGGAAACACAAAATCATTTGGACTGGAAAAGGACTTTAAGATCACCAGGTTCAACCATGTCCATGGAGTGCCCAACCATATCCATCCATATCCAACCCTGAGTTCATCCAATACTGAGTCCATGCTGTAAATATTGGACAAAAAACTCCAAATTTTTTCCTGACTAAACCAAATCAAATAGGTCCCTCCAGGACCATCCGGTGAGGGTCTGTCCCAGCCAACTCCTTTCCAGATCTCTTCAGCTCAGGCTGCAGTTTCAAACCTAGGGCAGGAATAAAGCACACGGGAGACAGCCAGGATTCCATAGGAAAAAAACCCTTTTATTTAACAATATATCAGGTTCCATCACGGCTCCATGGAGTTCAGCTGCCACAGAGCTGTTACCGATGCCGATGATATGCTACTGGGCGGGAGAGCTGGGAGAAGGCGAAAGGAATCAAAACCAGGAACATGACACGAAGAAAGAAAATCTGCGGCGCCGGGAACGTGGCCGAGGGGATCCCGGCACCGCCGGAGCCCCACCGGGAGCCGAGGAGAATCAACCAGCATGGGGATGCCAAGGCTGGAGCCAGGATGTGCCCTGCAGCCGAGGAGGTGCCAGCACGGGGAGCCTGGTTCCCTCCGTGCCCGGTTCCCCGCACGGTGCCCAACCGTTCCCGCTCGGCCCCAGCCCCATCCCGCGTGCCCCACACCGGGATCACACCCGGGCTCCAGCTCCGTGTCCACCCCTGGCTAAGGGCAGCGGAGGGGGGACAGGGAATTCCGTCAGCCCGGCTGCTCCGGCGGTGGCACGGGGGTGGGGTGGGGCAGTGGCAGCCCCGGCTGGTTGATGGCAGGGCCAGGCCCCTCGGGACAGGGACGGGATGTGACGCTGTGGCATGCGGAGGTGGCACAGCTCTGAAATGTGGGAGTGCGGTAAGGACGTGCTGGGGCGCGGCGCTGCCGGGATGGAGAGAGGGATGCCCATCCCTGCTCCAGCACCTCTGGAACCTTCCAGAAACTCTCTGTCAATATAATGCAGGTTCACAGCCCACCTCCTGGGAGCAACTGGGAGAACTGGGGGCTCCCTGATGCCTTCCAGCTGCCCGTGACACCAGGGATGGCTCCAGGGATGGCTCCAGGCATGGCCACCACCCCTGGGCAGGGACCCCAGGCCATCCCAGCCCAGCACCAAGAAGAGATAGGGCCATGGTGAGCTGGCAGTTGGCAATCAAAATAGGCAAACGCAAAATGGGATAGCTGGGAAAGGGATCTGCACCAGGAGCAGCTCCACAGGCCCAGAAAAGCAGAGCAGGATCTCAGGATGTTGCATTGAGTTCTGCATCCCCAAGTCAGGGATTTTTTGCTTAAAGATAAAAAAGCAGGTAATTTTGATGTACCTTTAGATCACCATGTGTCCCCACGTCTCTGCCCGTGGCCAGGACAGGGCTCAGAGCTCTGGGACTCACTGGGAATGAGCCACAGATTCTGGGATGGAATAGAATCCCAGATTCCTGCCTCATTCTCTGCTTGGAGCCCATCTGATCCTGCATTATACTGAGGGCAGGTCCCCAGTCCCAATCCCAGCAGTTCCCACACTCCAGCACAGCCCACAGGCTCCGGGCTGAGCTCTATGACAATGTTTTACACCCGTTCTTGTGGTTAAAATTTCTTTTTTTTTCATCTTTTTTTTTTAAGTTCTCATTTGTTTTTCTAAGAAAAAGCAACCAGAAAATAATTCGGAGTTTATACAAAACATCTTTACATTATTTCTTCCAAAAAAGACTAGTATTTACACAAACAAAAGGGGGAGGAGGGAAACAAAAAAATAAAAAAAAAATTTAAAAAAGGAAAAATCAACCAAATTTCAATGCTTTCCAAGAAAAGAACCCGAGGGACACACTCTGATCCAGGACCCAGCAGCCCGAGGTGCTCAGCAAAAACCAAGAGTTCTGATTTCACCCTTTCTTCACATATTTACAAGATTTTGCAGCTGTTCCCAAGCAGCAGGAGTGGGACTGATGGAGACCTCAGCTGGGAACAGCCACCATGAGGAGCCACCGGCACTGTCAGATCACTTTTGGTACAACCTGTGGCCAGACTCTGTCCCTTCTCCACCAAAACCAAACCAAAACTACATCATCCCCTCACTTCCACCTCCACTCCTGTCACTATTCCTAATGGATTCCACTGCCACTGTCACCATCACCACTGCCACCACCACACTGCCAGGGCTCTTCCCACTTCAGGAAACACAGGCTAAGGTTTGGCAGAGGGAAGAGGGAAAGGGGGTTTTTTTAAGACACAATTCTCTGGGATTTCCCCATCGGGGAATGGGGGGTCCTGGTGGGGGCGGCTCCCAGGCCAGGACAGGCAGTGGATCCCACAGAGGAGAGAGGGATGGAAGGTGCTACATGGGGGAAGCAGTGCTGGGATGGGGAATAGGGGAAAGCACCCACTGGGGTGCATCTCTCCCGAGGGAAGCAGCTGGTTTGGGGCCCTGGAAGCAGAACCACCTCAGGATGCCAAGGGCAGGAGGGGAGCTGGGACACCCCGCTCCACTGCAGCCCAAATTCCTGCCCTAAACCCAACAGCGTGACGCCACAGGATGCTCCCATCCCACTCGGGGCCAAACCCCAGCGCAGCAGCCGGGCCACTGGATCCCCCCCAAATCACCAGATCCTCCCAGGCCACGGGCCCCTGTCCCTGCTGTGCCCCTGCCCCCGCCCGCTCCATGTCAAGGCACTTTAGCAGAGCAGCTCCCTCGCTCTTTGGGCACTTCCTAACGCGGGATTTGGGGCCCTGGGGACAGCGGGAACAGCCCGGGCAGGAACAGCCCTGCCGGCCCCACTCCTGCTCCCTGAGCAAAAGCAGCTACTGCTGGAAGGAAAAGAAAGTGAGGAAGGGGGGACAGCCCGAGGACAGGCAGTGACAGGGCTCCACGTGTCACTGGCACCAGCCACGGTGCTGGCGGCTCCTCCCAGGAGGAGGAAGCTGGGAATGATCCCAGATAGGCTCAAGCCCTTCCAGTTTTGGGCAGGAGATGGGCAGGGCAAGGCAAGGGCAGGGGAGCCCGGGCTGTGGGACCCCCAGGAGGTGGCAGGACAGGGAATGCTCCTGTGCCAGGAGCAGGGCAGGGAACAGGCACAGCGGGGGCTGGTCCCCAAAGCAGGTCCTGCCGAGGGGCACTGGATTCTTCAGGTAAACCAGGAGGGTGGAAAAGCCTTTGGCTCAGCTCCCAACCAAGCCAAGCCTGGTGCTCCAACCTCCTGGGGGTTTCCAATCCCGAACACCAGCCTCCTCCTGACACCCCTGGCACAAGCTGCAAGTCAGGAACCTTTTGTTTTCCAGTTTTTCTTTCCAAGGACAACCACCTGCAGTATGCCCAGCTTGGGAGGGGTCTGCAGTGTCCCCCTGCCACCCCCTACTTTGCTTCCAGCAGGCTCAGCCCCAGCCCGATAGAAAGCCAAAGGCTTTTTTCCACAGTGGGATGCTCCAGAGGGATTGGGAAGAGCTGCCAGGCCACGACTGCTCCGCGTGGGGCAGGAGCAGTGTCCAGCCCCTCGCGCACTGAACGCTTGAGACAGGGTGGAGATAGAATTTTTTTTTCTTTCTTTTTATAAAGAGACTAAAACAAGAGTCAACAGCTACGAACACAAAAGTTTCCAGGGGCAGTGGGGGGAGCGGGATCTGCCCCGTGGCCGGCAGGATGATGTGCTGGAAGGAGGTGATGGCGTGTGCCCAGAGGTGGCGGGCCGGAGTCCCGCCCGGAATTCACAAAAATAAAAATGTTACAAAAAAATTAAAATAATTATAATAATAATAATAATAGTAGTAGTAGTAAATCGGGTTTGCCAGCTTCCTCCCTGCACAGTTGTCTGCATCTTGGCACCATGGCAAAGCATCCTCCTCCTCCTCCTCCTCATCCCCCTGTGCGCTCGCTGCTCCTGGGACTGAGGCCCCGGCGTCGCTCCAGGCTCCGGGACCCTGCAGCGCTGGCGGGCACTTTCCACAGGGCCGGAGCGGGGAAATCCCAAACCACAAAGGGAAGGTGGAGTCTCCGGGTTTGCCAGCGGTGTCCCGAGCACAGAAAGGCACGGCGCCCGCCCCCCACGGCCGGCCACAGTCTGGAGAAGAAGAGGAGGAGGCTGAAGGCTCACCCTCAGAGTCTCGGGATTACAAAAGCTGAGAACTACAAAACTAAATACAAAGGGGAGAATCAGCACGTGAGCGTTGAGCCCTCCGCTCCCCGGCGCCGCTCCCGGCGCTGCCCGCGCCGTGCCGGGGTGGGGACGTTTCGCTTCCTCCCTGCGGCGCCAGCCCCGCGCCCGGCGCTCCCGCGCTGCTGCATCGGTCGTTCCCAGGCTGCTCCTCACACCTTGTAGTAAATGTTGGCTGGGCTCTGCGGGGGCATCTCCTGCACGATGTAGACGGGGTGCCCGTAGTCCCCGCTCACCTTCTCGTAGTGCGGGCAGTAGTTGTTCTCTGTAGTCCGTAAGGGGATGATGATGTCGCTGGGCTCCGAGCCCGCGTTCCCGCTGCATTTGGGGCTGGCCAAGGTGCTAAGGGACAAGGCTGCGGCTCGCTGCTGCGTGTGCTTCCGGTGCCGCTTGCGGATCTTGATCAGGAGCACAACGAGGAAGATGATGATGAGGATGAAGATGACGCAGCCGGCGCCGATGGCCGCGAACACGGCCACCTTGGAGCTCAGGAAGCCATCGCTGGGACCTTGGGTCTCCTGGCCGTCCTGGTTGACGGAGCCTGCAGGGCAAAGGGAGACAGGGGTCAAGAGAGGCAGCAGATCTGTGCTCTGTCCATGCATGGATCACACCTGTGCAGCAGGGGCATGAGCTGCTCATTGGAGCCCCTCTCTGCTCCCCAAACTCAGCACAACATTCTCCTGCTGTGCTCCCAAGGAGGGGAGCTCCTCACTTCCAAGGGGATGGCACTTGCTCCCCACCTTCCCTCCCCAGTCAGACCCACACATCCCTGGGAAGGACTGGGCAGGGCAGGCAGGAGCCCCAAGCATCCACAGAGGGGGCACCACATGCCCTGTTCCCCATCCTGCACCACTGCTCCCCTTCCCATCTCCCAGCCTATGGAGCAGTGTTGATCATGCCCAGGTGACACCATTCCAGACCTGGGGAGCCTTCGCTCCCCACAACAGACCAGGATGCCCTGGGGAAAGTGGGCTCTGATACCCAGAGTCCCCCAGTCTCCAATTACTGACCCCTGGGCTGGGGCAGCTGCAGCCCCTGCAGAGGCAGCGCTCAGAGGCTGATCCGGGCAGGAAGAAAGACTTCCCAGCTTCATCTGATTCCACTTTGCTCTCAGAGAGGTCAGGAACTCATGAAACCACCTTCAAAGGGCTCTCACACCCAAGGACCTTACCTCCCTCAAGCCCTCTCAGATGTACTGTGAAGAACACATGGGAGAAGGAGGAGGAGGAAGAGTGCTGAAACAGCACTTCCCTGCCAAACTCTGCCAGGAGCTGGGGAAACAAACCTGAGCTGCTCTGCAGGCCGGGATAGCAGCAGGACAGCCGAGATGAGCACAACACTTAAAGCAAACCCATCCAGATCTCGGATCCAGAGAGTCTGGTATCCCTGTGATCCATGCAACAAGCTTAACTTGGAAGTGCTTCATTGGCCCCTCGGCAGGCAGAGCCCCATCCCTCTCCAGGGGATCCCTGGAATACCCACCTGGCTTGCCGGGCTCCTCCACCGCCGGGACCTTGCTGCGTGGGCTCTGCGTGACAACTTTCATGGTGTCATCCGACTCCTTGCTCGGCCGACTCGTCGTCAGCTGCTCTGGGATCACTGCGTTGGGATCTGGGAAAGGGGAGAGGAGGGATGGATGAGAAACCCTGGTCCAACCTGGAAGGCAGCAGCTTGTTCCCCCCTAAAGAAGTGCCCCCAGTTGTCAGCCACTCCCACAGGGCACTGGAGCACTGGGAGATGCCGAGAGCAACAGAGCACGGCTGAGCTGCTCCAGGGCTTGTGGGAAGCAGGTCCCCACCCTAACTCCCTGGTTTGCTGTTTTCAGAGCTCCCATGCGTGGGCTGGGACAGGTTTCTTGCTTGGGCAGCAGGAGGAAAGGAAGGGAAGGGCAGGCAGGAGGCCAAGGCTGCAGCACAGCTTTGCCTGTTTATTATAAATATTGGCCCTAACGTGCAAACACAATAATGAGAAGCAGAATCGGGAGCTGCGCATCCGAGTCGGGGCTGAAATGAGTCCGGAGCATCACTGGGAAGCAGCTCAGGATGGAGGTGGTGGGGAGCAGGAGCTCCAGGAGAAGAGTCTGTTAGTGATATCCCTGATGTCCCACTGAGCTGAGAGCCACCAATCCCTGATGCCTGGCCAGCTACAACCCCCCCTTGGATGCCTGGGAAGTCACAGGGGCACTGCCCGTGCCAGCCCCCCCGAGACACTTGCAGGGCTCATGGGTCCTGTGCCGAGCTCACTTCCCGCCGGGATACGGCCCACGAGGTAAGTGGGAACAATCGCTCCCTTTCAATCCCAGCGCTCCGCACATGCGCCATGTTGGCAAGAGAAAAAAGGCAGGAAGGAAGATCCTAAAAATGAAATTCTGTTGAACTAACCCAGGAACAGCTGGCCTGGCCTCAGTTTCCCTGGAATCTTGAACTCCCACATCCCCCAGAGGAACAGGGACCCTGGCTCCCCAGGGAACAGGAGGACTCACCCTGCCCCACTTTCATGACAATCTTCATGGAGCGTGTCTGGCAGACCCCTCCTTCCCGGTTCTCCAGGCCATCCAGCGTGCCGTTGGAAGTGGCTGCAAGAAAAGAGAGGGAATGTTAGACAGGTTTCTAGGAGCTGGAAGGGCACTGCTGGGCAGCTCTCTGCTGTTCCCTGGCATTACTGTGCAGGTCCTCACTGTCCCCTGGCACTGCCAAGCAGGTCCCAGCTATCCCCTGGCACCTCCTACCTCAGGGATTCACTCCTGACCCCCCATTACAGCCACATCTTCACACCCCTATCTGGAGCCCTCCAAATTCCCAGCTCCTGCCCCTTCCAAATCTGCCTGCGGCAGTGAGGACATGATCCCTGCAGCTTCCTCTCACTGCCACATCCACACAAGTGAGCCATTCTCCATGCCTGCACCCTCCTCCCCCTTTAATTCCTGGATAATTTCCTTTGCTCCTGGTGCAGAATGGGAACACTTGCATATGCACAGTTTAAATTATACATCTCTAATTACACCCTGTGCCTCAGTGAAGAATGTAAACTCAGAGCCCCAGTGGACTCTAGGGGCTCTAATTGCAGGGCAGAAGTCACTTAAATTCACATTAACTTTTCGCTGGAGCCGGCACGGAGTTTTCAGCCCTCGAATCCCATGGGAGCACAAGGAAGGTCCCCCATCCTCCAGCTCTCTGCGGGGCTCAGGGCAGGGGGGACACAAAAGAGAATAAACCCAAACACAAGGATTTCAGGATTAAGCACCTAAATGGCAGATTCTGCTAAACAGACACAAAAATTGGTTTCTGACCCCACCAGGGCCCTGGATGTGGCCACTGTGCCAAGCACAGAGCCAGACCTGCCCAGGGACCAGGACGGTTCCCATCTCATCACCTCCCTCCATCATGGCAAACACAAAGCATCCCAGTGCTCCACCAAATCTAAACACAGGGATCAATTCACCCAGGGAAGCAGGGAAACCTGGGAGGAGTTCAGCAACAGCTTGGGGAAGGCAATGTGATGGAGAATCATGGAGCCCAGGGATAATTTTCCAGACACAAGGCAGGACTTGGCCAGCACAGTGCAGTTAACACCTCCTGGAACCTCAAGGCAGAAGCTCAGCCCTGGGGTTTCAAGTTCCCTGTGCAGCCCAATTCCTGTCTCCATCCTCCAAAAAAGCAGGTCTGGGAGGGCAGGTGACTGACAGGAATCTGGGATGAATCCATTGGAGCCTGCTGAGTGTTGGTGAGGGGACAAGAAGGGGCTGGAGTACAGAGCAATGTGTTTCCACATTCCCCTTCCCACAGCAGGAGGTTGGGTGCCTCCATGAGCTCCAGGCTGGGATAAACTGGAAAGCACCCCTGGATCCCTCCAGGAAGCAGGCTCCAAGTCCATCAGCACCTTCCAAACACCTCTGTGCAATCCAGGTTCTCGCCTGAAACCCCAGCAAATGTTTTCCTAAGCAGAAAGTCCTTGGGCCATTTGCTGAGTTGTCACCTCTCCCGCGGCAGGATCCCCTCTGCCAGCGGCTCCCGGGATGGAGCCGTGCATCCAGCTGGGATGGTGCATCCAGCTGGGATGGTGCATCCAGCTGGGATCTGCTGGCAGCCCTTCCAACAGCAGCACTGTCAGCACCAAGGCCCACGCAAATGCCTGGGAATGTGGAGGAACGCCCCCAACAGCCCGCACGAGTTCTCTGGAATCCAAACAGGATGGACCTGAGCTCAGACTCCCCATAAAAACACATCAGGAGCAAACTCCAGCAGAAAGCTCGGCAGCCCAGTTCTCCCAGGCTGGAGGCGCCCGTTTGGGGGTGAAATCAGCAGATACATCCCAGCTCGCAGCCCTGAAGCAGCTCCTTGAACAGTTTCCAGCTTCCCAGCTCCATGCCATGGGTTGTTGCATCTCAAAGAGACTCATCCATCGAGGGAGAAGGCAGCAGTCTGTAAAAACCAGTCTCTGTGAGGCCTCATGAGGTCTGATTTATAAATAATTAACTGATTATAACAATATGTGGTAACAAGCAAGCATGGTTCAAGTGGGAGAAACCAGAAGACTCCATAAAGGCAGCAGTTCCTCCAAATAACTATGAAAACATTCCATCCACATACAAAAGAAAATATTAAAGGTCCAAAGAGGACAGAGGGAGCAGCTGGAGACACAGGGATGGCAGCTGGAGCCACAGGGATGGACAAAGGGATGCAGCTGAGGAGTCTTCTTCCCACCCCACAGTTGGACACAAAGTTTCTTCTTGTTCTAGCCATGAAAATGATGAGGGAGAAAGTAGCTTTGAGAGGGAACCATGTGGAAAAATGAAGCTGTTGCTTGAGGGAACAAAAATAAGGCAAAACATTTGTAAAACCCACAGTGATGGTCTTGGAATGGCCTCTGGAAAGAAGGACATGAGCTTCCACATTCCGTGTAAATCCACAATGGGCCAGAGAGAAGCTGGATGCTCCATGCAGCTGGTTAGGCTTCCAAAAGTCAAAATTCTAAATCCACAAATTCATCCAAATGGTGCAGAGTCCAGAGAGTTTGATGTGAACATGTAGGGCAGGGTGATGTGAGAGCAGCAGGTCCCGGATCCATCGGGAAAGGCTCCTCCAGCACAATTCCCTGAGAAGCTCAGTGATGAAGAGCTGCTCCTCCCCTTTGTATCCTGCTTTCCCAGGGGAAGAAGCTCCAGCAGAACGCTCCAGGCTCAGCTCAGCCCAGCTCCAGTGGATCCAGACTGGGATCTGGGTGGCACTTGCTGGATTCCTCAGGTGCCTGTGCCACTCACTGCCACGGTTAGGGTGAGCTGTGGTGACACCACCAATCCTCAGCTGCTGATGGAATCCAGAGTCAGTAACCCACAGAGGAAAATGTTAAATCCACAGGCACGGCTGCAGGAGAGCTGGGAGAGCCCCGAGCTGCAGAGAGGCAGCTGCAGGGCAGCAGCAGGAGGCAGAGCTGTGACACAACAAAGGAAGCCAGGCAGGGAGCTGGGAATACCCATGGAATAGGAAATGGCAGGTCTCAAACAACATTTCACCTTCCTAATCCACACCAGCAAGGTTCAATCCAGCCAGACACGGCAACACTGAGCGTACAGTACATGGAGCATTTTCCTGCCTTATTCCATTTTGGATGGATTTGCAGGTTGGCTGTAGGACTGGGAGAGCAAAAATAACCTCTGGCCAGTGACTTCCAAAGGCTGACTTCCAAAGGCTGCTCCCAGCCCAGAGAGCCACGAGATGCCTCTGCCCTAATGGAGCATTAAGCCCCGGGCTGCTGAGTGATGAGGATTTAACAGTGATACCATTAACCATGTAATTGCTTGTCAATTTAGAGGAGATGCTCAGCCACCATGGAAGCCAGGCAGGACCTCCACTCCTGGAATCCCACACTCCCATCCAGCCCAGTGACACACACCACGGAGCTGGGACAGATGGCTGAGATCCCCAACAACCCCATGGTCCCGTCTCCAAGCCAGCAATGCCATGTGCTGTCCCTGCTGCCTCCCCAGCGCCAGCATTCGGTGTCACCAGAGCTTTTCTCCCTCCCCTAAAAATATTTCAAAGGAGAACTCGGGTTTTGGCAGATGGGAGATGCTGGAAGTAATATCTGGCAAGAGATGAAGGCAAGGGTCTCTTAAATGGTCAGCCTTGGCCAGAGCGAGATGTTTGGTTTCTCTGCTGGATTCCCTCTAGCAGGGCTGCGTTATGATTTGGGCCCCAAAGCACAATTAATGTGCTGAGACTGTAGCGAATCCAAGTCTCTTTCCTTTTATTGCTCTTAATCACTCTTCCATCTGTGCAGCTCAGCCCTGCTCCAGCCCCAGCCAGGCACGGCGTGGCCGCAGCCCAGCCACCATCCCCAGCACCCCCCCGGCCCCCAAACCTGCACAAGGTTCGTGTTTCCATCACTTCAGGAGAGGTGGCAGCATCCCACCGGTGCCCCACAGCCTGACCCCGATCCTGCCAGAACCACAGGGGCAAGGGGCAGCTTGCAGAGCAGCCTCAGCCCAGCCTGGACACCCCTGGGCTGAAAGCCCCTCCTGGCACAGGGGAAGCCCCTACAGGTCACCCTGGAGATGTGCCTCCCACACCTCTGATGTGCTCGGACACTGCCAGAGAGATCCTTGCAGGAATCCACAAGCAGACTGCACGTCAAATAAAATCCCAGCTCCTGCCACTTCGCCTCTCAAGATCTTTCAAGCTGTTTTACAGCTCCTCGGTACCGACACAGAGGTGCTACACTGGAGCCCAACCCACCACGGGCATTGAGCTCCTTCCCTTCCATCCCAACAGGGCTGGCACTCCAGGGGACACGGAGCCACTTCCAGGTCACAGAGCAGAGGCACCCGCCTGCTCCACTGCACACCAGCTCCCTGGAGCCTCCGGGAGCACGGCTTGGTTACAGCCCCTGCTCCTCCTCCTGCTGCTCCTCCCAGGCATCAGGGCAGCTCCGGCTCAGGGCATTATTGGTACTATTAATATTAATATTGGTGTCACTTCCTAGCCAGCCCCACTGTGTGGACACGAGCCCCTCACCCCACATCCCCCAGCGCCTTTTCTGAGCTCCAGCACATTGACTGGGGATGCTGCCAGCGCTGGGGCAGGGGCTGTGTGGAGGGAGCCCACCCCACGCTGTCACAGTGCCAGCGGGGCCGGCAGCCGCCTTCCAGCCTTCTTCCAGCCTCTTCCAGCCTTCTCCCAGCCTTCCCGAGGCAGCTGCGCCGGGAAGGGGCCCTGCAGCCCCTGAAATGCCTGTGTGAGCCAGCCCGGCCCTGTCCCGTCCCCGCACGGCGCAGGAGGTGCAAGGCTTGGGTTTCACAGCCACTGCTGCCAGCTCCGGAGCTGCTCCAGAGCTGCTCCAGCCACTCGGTCCGGCACGGAGAGAGAAGGGCCACGGGGGCTGGGCCCCCTCTGCTCTCCTCCGTGGCACCAGGGCACTGCCAGGCCCATGCCATGAAGCCAGCTGGGATCACCGTGTCCCTCCCCACAGCTGGGAATCTGCCCATCCCAGCCCACACTCCCTGCTCCAGCAAACACAGTGGGAAAATCACCAGTTCAGATGCACTGCTGGGAATAGGAATAAAAACCATCATATGGG